ATCAGTCCTCCTTGCGGCTGCAAGGTTTGAAGCGAATGTGCGCGGCGTTATGTGGCACAGCGGTGGAGGAATGCGCGCGTCGCTGGGGCGATACCACGATTCTGAAAACGACCCCCTCCGTCCATGAGCCCGTTGCACCGTGGAGTAAAGCCGACTGTGGGCGGCGCGGCGGCGAACGCGACTCTGTGAACAGGAAATGTCTTCCATCCTCGAAGACCGTGCACACCTTAGAGAACACTTTTTCGGCCGGCGGGTCGGGAGCGGGCCCCTTCCGGTCAAGAGCTCGGCGGGGCGCGCGAAGCACTCATTGGGGAGACAAGGCGCGGGCGGGCGGGGCCTCAGGCGGCCGGAAGGCGCGGGGTGCAGGCGGTGCCGAAGAGCTTGCGCAGGAAAACATGATCGACCCACGAACCCGGAAAGGAATATAGAAATGTAAGGCATTGCAACATTTCAAAGACACCTGATTGGGCGACGGGCACATGCAATGCTGAATGTATCGATGATGATGTACTGTGCCGAGGGCTGTGCTGTGCTACGCCGTGCTGAACTGCGATGTGCCATGCCGCGATTGTGCTCCATCTATAGCGTTGTGGATCGAGTCCTCCCTGGCATCCGAGTCCTCACCGAACTGATCTGGAGCGTAAGCTCGAGCTGCCTGAGCAGATGGTAGCTGCCCCAGAACTAATCGACAGAGGGAACATGCCAGGAGGACGCGCCGCGGAACGTCCCAAGGGACGCGCCAGGCGACGTGGCAGGGGACGTGCCATGGGGACGCACCGCGGGACGTGCAAAGGGGACGCGCTACGGAACGTGCCAATGGACGTGCCGAGGGACGTGCCAGGGGACGCGCCGCGCGACGTGCCAGGTGGACTCGCCACGGAACGCGCCAAGGAACGTGCCAAGGTGCATAGTTGAGTGTATCGATCTTGATGTACCGTGCCGACGGCTGTGCTGTGCTGGGCCGTGCTGAACTGCGATGTGCCATGCCGCGATTGTGCTCTATATAGCATTGTGGATCGAGTCCTCCCTGGCATCCGAGTCCTCACCGAACTGATCTGGTCGTAAGCTCGAGCTGCCTGAGCAGATGGTAGCTGCCCCAGAACTAATCGACAGAGGGAACATGCCAAGAGGACGCGCCGCGGAACGTCCCAAGGGACGCGCCAGGCGACGTGCCAAGGGACGTGCCATGGGCACGCACCGCGGGACGTGCCAAAGGGACGCGCTACGGAACGTGCCAATGGACGTGCACCGCGCGACGTGCCAGGGGGACTCGCCACGGGACGCTCCGCGGAACGTGCCAGGCAACATGCCAGGCTGCAATGCTAAGGGTATCGATATTGATGTACCGTGCCGAGGGCTGTGCTGTGCCTGGGCGACCTGGACACGTGAAAACACGCGTTTCGCTCAAGACGTTGTCAGCACATCCTCATGCTAGACATCCGCCTGGGCAACCTGGACACGTGCAAACAAGCGTCTCGCTCGAGACATCCTCAACAAATGCTCATGCTAGACATCCGCCTGGGCGACCTGGACACGTGAAAACAAGCCTCTGGTTCGAGACATCCTCAACAAATCCTCATGCTAGACATCTGTCTGGGCCACCTGGAGGCGTGAAACCAAGCGTCTCGCTCGAGACATCCTCAAGACCTGGGCACGTGAAAACAAGCAATCCACTTGAGAGAGCCTCAGAATTCAGGTCCCCAGGAAAGAACAATCTATAACACAAAACAAGCGTTTCGCTCGAGACATCCTCAACAATTTCTGAAAAAACAAGCTTTTCGCTCGAAACATCCTCAAATTTTAATTCGCCGGCCCTACGCGACCTCGTTATTTATCGCAAAACAATTTCGCCAGCCCAAGTCGCAGGGGGGCCGGGGGGTTAACCTACTAAAAGAAAACCCTGGGCCCGCGCCCTTTCCGGGAAAATACGCCTTGGACAGGAGCCGGAGGCGAAGTCCCGGGGGGAGAGCGAAGTGGTGTTGCCGTCGACGGCGCGTCAAAATCACCATCCTCGAGTGCTGCGTGCGGAAGGACGTAACCAGGTCGACGTCCACACCTTAGAACATACGTGTACGGCGCCAGGGCGCAAGCCCCGTTCTGAAGACGACCCCCCCTCCATCCCCGAAGCTGTTGCGAACTGTGAGAGCTAATAGGCGCAGAGCCGGGGCGAGACCACCCTTTCGCTCAGGCGGGCCCCAGAGTTTGAAAAGCCACCCATCCTCCATGCTTGAAGCTGTCACAGATTACAAACTTCACTGCAAATTTTGGGAGGAAGTGCGAAGCGAAACGATCAGCCAACCCTGCTGACACGTCTGGGGGTCCGACAAGTAAGCGATATTCGTACGGAAAGGGATGGAGGGACGAGGGTCGGGGAGCAACAAATTGCATAAATATAGAAACTCGGAGGTCCGCGCGGATTTCTCGGATCGGCGCTTGACCCCCCTCCCTGCCGCGCCGAGCGCACCAGGGGCGGCGCTGGAGGCGCCGCCGGAGGGGGTCCAGCGCCGATCCGAGAAATCCGCGCGGACCTCCGAATCGGAGGTGAGGGGGTGAGATCGAAGTGGAACGGAGAGCCCCCTTACCGGGAAATCGATTTCGGTTTCGTGTTCGTGCGTGCCGTGCGTGCGGGCGAGGCGAAGCTGCGTGGGCGGGCGAGAGAAAGTCTCCTGTGGCTGAGGCGCGGCCGGACCAAATGTCTCCCTTCCGGGCGGCCGGTGGCCCGCGGTGTCCCGCCGGTGTCCCGCTGGTGTCCCGTGTGGCTGAGGCGCGGCCGGACCAAACGTCTCCCTTCCGGGCGGCCGGTGGCCCGCGGTGTCCCGCCGGTGTCCCGCCGGTGTCCCGTCGGTGTCCCGTCGGTGTCCCGATGACGATGCCGATGATGATTATGATGATGATGGTGATGATGATGGTGATGATGATGATGATGATGATGATGATATTGATGATGGCGATGATGATGATGTTGATGTTGATGTTGATGATGATGATGATGATGATGATGATGATGATGACGTCGATTGTGATATCGATTGTGATATCGATAGTGAGACCGAATGTGAGATCGATTGTGATATCGATAGTGAGATCGACTGTGAGACCGATAGTCAGATCGATTGTGAGATGATGGTGATGATGGTGATGATGGTGATGATGATGGTGGTGATGATGATGACGTTGAAGATGTGGATGATGATGGTGTCCCGATGACGATGATGTTGATGATGTTGATGATGGTTATGATGATGATGTTGATGATGATGGTGTCCCGATGATGATGATGATGATGACGTTGATGATGATGATGTCGATGATGATGATGATGGTGTCCCGATGGTGATGATGATTATTATGTTGATGATGATGATGATGACGATGATGATGTCCCGATGATGGTCATGATGATGATTATGATGATGATGATGATGATGATGATGATGATGATTATGATGATGATGTTGATGATGATGATGATTGTGATGATGGTGATGATGATGATGATGGTGGTGTCCCGATGATGTTGATGACCGTGATGCTGATGTTGGTGTTGATGATGAGGAGGGTGTCCCGATTATGATGTTGGTGATGATGCTGTTGATGTTGATGTTGTTGTTGATGATGATGATGACGTTGATTGTGAGAGCGGTTGTGATATCGATAGTGAGATCGATAGTGAGACCGAATGTGGTATCGATTGTGAGATCGATTGTGAGATCGATAGTCAGATCAATTGTGAGATAGATCGAGTGAGATCGATTGTGAGATCGATCGAGGGAGATCGATCGAGCGAGACCGATACTGAGATCGATAGTGAGACCCGATCGAGTGAGACGTTGGTTCCTCCCCCCCCCGAACCTCCTTATCACCCGAAGGGTGGTCGTATAGGTATGTATGTTTATGTCATTCTTCGTTCCCCTTCATGGACAGAGCGAGGGGGAGCAGGAAGGATGTCATCCTCGCGGATCGAGTGTCGAGGGGTGTTGATCTTTCAAGCTCCATAAGTCTCTTTTGCTTCCTGGGCCTCTCGGGGGGCCCCATCGTGGCCGTGGCCGGGCTCCCCTGGGGAATTTCGGGCATGGACGCGCCACGGGACTGAGGACGAGGGCGGCCGCGTTCGGCGTGTGCCCCCCCCCCCCCCCCCCCAGCTTTGGCCCAATCACTGGTCCCTTTTGTTGGAACTCGCCAACGTTTTTGACGTTGCACGGACGTCATGCATGAGCACGCAGCGTTCTGAAATGATGCATTGCAAAACAGAAGGCCGACCTAGGCCAAACGCAAAAAGCACATCACGCCTGGCTGGCGCAGCAGGGCGAAGAAAGGCGTGAACTGGCCAACGCGCCTCCCTCGTGGTGAGGATTTGGGGGTCTCCTGGGGCTCAACTAGGGCCCTTTTGGGGGCCTCTTGGGCCCAAATCGGCTCCCCTGGGCTTTCTTGGTAGCCTCCTGGGGCCGTTGCGGGGCCATCTCGGGCCCCACTTGGGCCGCCTGGGGGCCCTCTTGGGCCATCTTGCGCTCGTCCGAAGGCCCTCTTCGGCCGTCTTGGGGCCCTCTTGGGTGCCTCCTGGGGTCCTTTGGGGGGCCACCCAGGATCGATAGCCTCGGGAGTTGGCCCCGCCTCATCAGCGTGTGTGGCATTCCAAGCTCTGGAGTTGATCTGTTTGTTGGCTTGTCGCCCAACCGCCGAAATGCCCTCCTGGCCAATACAATGGACGAGGCGGGCCTGATTTTCCCCAAGACGACCGCCTCCAGCATGATGTATTTTTTTGTCGCGCGCGCACGCGCGCATGAGCAACTGCGCGGCGACGCCCCTCAGCCGAGGACATCCCGAGCTCTGCCGGCGGCCAAGCCGCGAGCCATCCCCCCCCCGTCCCTGGCCGCGGCTGCAGCCGCGGAGCCCCTCCGTCGGCGGCCGCGGTGCGCGGGCCCGCCTCCGTGGTCGGCGCGGCGCGGCGTGCAGGGCGCTCCGAGCCTCGCGTGGCAGCGGCGGCGGCGGCGGGGAGGCGCCTCCGCCGCCGCCGCCGCCGCCGGCCGCTGGGTGGCCCGACGGGGCCACGGCCAGCCCGCAGCCGCCACGCGTGGACGCCCTCGGCGCCCAGCGGCCGGCGCCGCCACGCGTCCGAGCGCCGCGCCTCAGCGCCGCACGAGCGCCTCGCCCGCGCCCGCGGGCGCGGCCTGCGCGGCGGGGCGCTCCGCCAGCCCGCTGTCGGCGGCGACCACCAGCGATGCCACGGCGAGGGCCATGCTCCCCAGCCCGACGGCGCTCAGCGCTTCCCCCCGGGCGGCGAAGGCGACGAGCGCCGTGAGCGGGGGCTGCAGGGCCGCGTACAGCGTGACCACGGTGACGGGCAGGATATAGCTCGCCCAAGCGATGAGGGAGTAGCTCAGCGCCCCGCACACGGTGCCCGCGTACAGGGCCAGCCATGTGTCCTGGCGCCTCCAGCCAGTCAGCGTCCAGCCCCAGCCCTCCCGCGCCGCCAGCGCAAGGAGGGCGAGCAGGGAGGCCGCCGAGGCGAAGGCGTAGGCCAGCCTGGTGACCGTGGAGGGCGCCAGCGGCCGCCTGTGGCCGCGGGCCACCAGCAGCGGCTTCATCGCGACCAGGAAGAGCCCCTGCAGGAAGGCCATCGCCAGACCTGCGGCCGTGCCTACCAGTGGCCGCCGGGGCGCGCCCCCGCCCACGTGGGCGCTGGGGCCGGCCACCGGCGCGGCGGTGGCCAGCAGACCCGCCCCGACGCCCAGCAGGACGCCCACGGCCGAGCGGCGCGTGGGGCGCTCCAGGCCGCAACTGGCGGCGAGGCCGCTGGCGAAGGCGGGCGCCAAGGCGTTCAGGACGCCCACGGCGTCGGCGCCAGCCCAAGCCGCGCAGAGGACCGTGCACAGCGAGGCCACGAAGGGCCCCGGGAGCCCGACGGTGGCCAGCAGCGCCCAGTCCTCGCGGCCCGCCGGGGCCGCGGCCGCGGCGCCGCCCTCGCAGCGGCCGGCGCGCCCGCGGCGCGCGGCGCACGCGAGGCGGTGGGCCTCGGCGGCGCAGAGCACCGCCAGCGCCGTCGCGTCGCGGGCCGCGCACAGGACGGCCGTGTTCGCCGCCGTGACGTGGAGGGTCTCCGCGAGGAGGTTCCAGCAGGAGAGCGCCGACGTGGCCACGAGGAGGGCCCCGTGAGCCACGGGGCGCCCCAGCTCGGAGGCCATCGCCGGAGCGCAGCGGCCCGGCGGCTTGAGCCAACATGGCTACGGAAAACCCCAGCATGACGTATTTCGTGTACCGTGTTCAGGTGGTCTCCTGTTTGCCTTCTGCATGCCACGTGGATGCTTTTCGCACCAGAGGTCGTTTCATAACAGTTCCTTGTCGGATGATCGTGCTCGTGACCGTCCCGTCGTGTCAAAGCGAACCAAGGATAACAAGTCCATGACATATTCTCACCCACGGAGGTCGGTCGCATCTCACCCTGGTCACACACAGGCATCTCCTCTGGTGACCTCACCCTTCACCAGAGTGTGATTCGGGGTGCTGCTCCTTCGATGTTCAGCACATCCTCAACATGATCAACATCATGGTGCTCCGCATCGCACTCTCACGACACACCTCCTACTCTCTTTGCACCTCCTCATGAGACTCCTTCTCCCCCTCGGCATCATCGTTTCCTCTATTTTGTATACTTCGTACTCCGCCCAGTGACAACATCAACCTATGACATATAACATCAATCTGGTCGAAATCTGACACGTGACCGCATGCTGACTGTTACTCCAACCGTGAACGCACACTGTACGTTGACGCCACCCGACTCACATGTTACAATCTCCGCCTCCTCCTCCTCCTTCTCCACCTCTGCCTCCGCCTCCTCCTCCTCCTCCTCCTCCTCCTCCTCCTCCATTGCTCCTCCTCCTCCTGTCGCCCCTCGAGCAGTCGCCTCCAAGAATACTGGGCTAGCACGGTGGCGGGACTTGCCGCAAGCAGCCGGGTACGAAGACCACCTCGGACGGATGGAATGGTTTTCTGTAGGCACACAGCACGCACACACATACACACATCTCCGAGACACTCACGGGCATGGGAATGAACCATAGACAACTCTTAGACAGTGGGAGCGGAAGTGCCTGACCACCAACGGGTGGAAGGGAACCCCTCTCTATTGAGGGGCAACGTCAGGGGGGGATACCGCCTCAGGGGCGGAAACATCGACCTGGAATCGGCGGTACATCGCTGGTAGATCGGCGATGAGCCCCCGATGGCGAATCCGCACGCTCCTGGGCGGGATGGGGCTATCAGACCCCTATCGGCGATCAATGGGCGATTGGGGTCGATGCAGTCCGCCCCTGAGCCTATCCCTCCCCTAACATCGCCCCGTAGTCTCCTACACCTCCTCCAATTCCACCAAGCCTTGATCACCGGTGCGCTGGCCGTCAGACCTGCCTGACTGTCCCAAGCCATCCAGCTTCGTGCATCGCGCCACGCGATGCGGGCTTGTTTTCGCGCCCTCGCGCCGCCCTTGCAGAAAGATGGCCCAACGGCCCCGGCCGCGACGCGCAGCTACCTTCGCTCCCCTGGGGGCTCCCCCGGCTATCTTACCCCGGAGGTCACATCCCACCCTGGTCGCACACAAGCATCTCGTCGGGTGACCTCACCCTTCACCAGAGTGTGCGCAGGGGTGCTGTCCCTTTGATGTTAAGAGGGGGAGGAGGAGGAGGAGCGAGCACTCCGTTCCCGAGTCAACCTCCCTTCAATCAAGGATGTGGCCAGCGGTGCTGCGACAGGAGCATCCTTGATCAGGGGTGTGGCCAGCGCTCGAGCGGTAGCACCCTTCCAGTCAGGCGTGTGACCAACGCTGCAGCGAGAACAATACTCCCAATTCTTGTTGTTTTGCCTGGTGCCTGGTGGCTTTGGGGTCATAGCTCGGGCCTCTGGCGTGGCAGATGGTATCATCTACAGGCTGCCTCGGCTGCCCAACGGCGCGTCGAACGTCGCCTGCAGATCTCTTGCAGCGTGTAGCCGGGGAAGCGTGAGCCCCGGGGTCGAGAAGGGGAGCGAGAGAGGCAGGGCGAGTGCCTTCGCTCCCCTGGGGCTGACCCGGATGTCTGGCCTCGGCCTCGGCCCGGCGCCGCTGCTCAGCCCGCCCTCAAGAGCCGCGGCTCCGCTCTCCGCCGCCCCCGCCTGCCTCTCCCCCCCCCCCCAAACTCGGGGGCGGCCAACAGGGGGGCGTCCAAAAGGGGGGGGTGCAAAGCATGACCGGCGGTATGTGCGCGGCCCAGGGGGGGGGGGCAGGGACGCAATGAAATAAAGAGAGGCGCCATGAGATCTGGAGAAATATCATGGCCCGCGCCATGATGTCCACCCCCCCCTTTAGTCAGCACCCCCCTCTTCCCCCCCCCTCCCGAACCGCGGGAGGCGGGCGGCCGCCACGCCTCGGCTCCAGCGCCCCTCCTGGGACCGCGAGCGGCCGCGCCGCCCTGGCGCAGGGTGGCAGGGGTCAAGGGGCAGGCGGAGCGGCAGGAGCACGGGGTGGAGGGCAGACAATCCACCCCGATCATAACCACCCCGACACGCGAAGCCGTTTCGTAAACGCACCCAAAGCAGGAATCGAACAGGGCAGGGCTGTTCAGCAAACGCCCCGGGCCGTTTGGGAAACGCAGCGTGTCCTGTCCGGGCGGTTTTCCCTCCCTTGACGAGGATCCGACATGCTCCGCCTCTCTCCCGCGTGTCGATCCGCGCGTCCCGGTGAGCACGGCAAGGTGGGAAGGGGAGTGCACGAGTCCTGGGGATGCTCTTCGATCTCTGGGGAGCCGTGCGTGGGCGGGACAAGCCGAGGCCCCTGGGTGAGGGTCACCCTACGAGCACAGACATTCATTCTTGTGACTAGACGTCTGGGATCACGGTGTGCATCCCACGTTGATCGACGGACAACGTGAGGACATGATGGACTGATCGAACGACTCGTCAGACAGGCGACTAACGACGAGTCAGTCGTTACGTATCCTACATCATGTATGCAGGTTGGCCGCCGCCCAGTCTAAGATCTGGTGGGCGCCTGCTTCGTTGGTCGGATCGAAATCGTTTCCCCACAAGCCCACAAGAACACATCCAAGCTGTACGTTTTGCCCTAACTTCCTGAGAACACCTCATCGTCCCATTGCAACCGACACCCTGACATTCGGATAGCAATCCCAGGCCGCGCGGGAGTCTTTTGGAAGTCATCGCGCAGAGGGTTGCAAACTGTGGGTGGCAAGCCTCGCACGGCAAACGTTTGGGATCACAGAACTGCTGGTCGTGATTATCCTCCGGTCAGAGACCCCATTGTCAAGGCACATATTCGATCTTCAACTGCCCGAAGCATTTCGATCTGGACAATGCAATCAGCATTAATGGGTCTGCATGTAGGAGCTGGTGTGGCGCCGATGATTTCCAACAATGATGGCTGTGATACATGTGCTCTGAACTGCTGCTATCCGTGGTGAACATTTACCCAAGATGCTTTCTGGTCGATGATCGCAACCCGGGCCATCTTCATGGGAGGAAAGGGGAGTAGGATAACAACGAGTGGTGCTCGTCGCCTGGAGACTTGATTAGTTGCACATTGGGCAATCAGATCGTGCACTATCAGATGCTTTGGCCCTGCTGTCACTGCTCCCGCCGATCAAAGAAAGAACACATCAGGTAAGACTACCGCCCGCAATCCTGAACGCTGCTGGCTCGCGGGAAAAAAACGCAATCATCCCTTCAGGCCTGCCTTCTCATTGCACACTTGGCGCGGGCGCTGCAGCGACAAGCTAGGACACAAAGACAAGCAAGAGAACTCGGAATAAGAAAAGACACAATCGTGTGAGACAACAACAATCCGTGATGCAGAAGGCCTACCGCCGCTGGCCCGTGTGGTTGGTGGCGACAGTAAGAGCAAGCCAGTCGAGACCTTCATACAGCCCGTCCCCGACCGTCGCAGTTGTCTCCTGTACCAACCACTTTCGGCTCCTGCCGAGGCCATTTAGCCCAAGCTTGGTGGTGAGCTCTTGCGTCGTCATGGCGTCAAGCAAATCCTGCTTGTTGGCCAGGACCAGCAACACCGCGTCCCTCATCTCCTCTCTATGAAGCATCTTCAGAAGCTCTTCGTGGGCTTCCTCTATGCGTTCTCGGTCGGAGCTGTCCACCACGAAGATGAGAGCGTCCGTGTTCTGATAGTAATGCTCCCAAAGCTTGCGTGTCCTCGTCTGGCCTCCGAGGTCCCAAATTGTGAATACAAGGTTTTGGTACTCAAGCCTCTCCACGTTGAAACCCACCGTGGGGACTGTGGTCACTATCGTGCCGAGCTTCATCCGGTACAGCACAGTAGTCTTGCCAGCTCCGTCGAGACCAACCATAATGATGCACACCTCACGCTTGCCGAAGAGGCGGGTCCAGACCCCCGAGACGGCGAGGCCGACGGCGTTTGGCTGCGCGCCGCAGAGGTACTGTGGGTCACCGGTGACACGCTGCCACTGCTCGGACAAGCTCTGCCCCATGGCGACCAGGGCGCGCCCTGGCCGGGGACGCGCAGGACCGTTTCGTAGCCGCTGGTGTGCGATGTGCCGAGTCCACTTTCGCCCGCCCGCGCCAGCCCTGGGGGCTTGAAGCGAAAGTGGCTACAGCAGGAGAGAAACCATGACGGCAATCTGTGGATAAAGGACCTGTCTGTGTTCGGGCACGGATCTGCTGTGGATTGTCCACCTCTGAACGGCCTCACTGCAAGGCAAGCTCCGGGTCGGGCCCATGAGAGCGGCCCTGACCCCGTCTCTCCCCAGACGGTTACACGGCTCGTCGATACAGATTCAGGACATCCCCTGACATCGCCACGATGGCCTGGACAACACACCCCGACAAGCTCCGCGAGAACCAACAAAACACTCCTGAACATTTGGCATGCCCGATGTGGGTACGGGAAACATGTGTACAATGACCAACAACACATGCTGTCCAACACTATCAGCGGCTGCTCAGAAGGACCTCGTCCGTGGCGACACCGACAACGAATCCTAAGAAATGCTGCTGGTTTTCGTTCCCAGTCGCTCCGTATCCATCTTGGTCGTACTGAAGCGTGCTCTCCCGAGGAGCATGGGGGAACGAACGCTCGCAGGGATGCACCACGCACCACGGCCCCGTAAGATGAAGCACAAGGCGGCATCCTCGGACCGCTCCCGTGCGGCACGAACCGTATCGGGCTGCAGTGGGGAATCGGATAATCAATATGTGCACCCTGTAGGCGAGCTTGGCGGAGAAAACACCGCCTCCCGCTCTGTCCAATCATTCACGAGTGCGTGCCAAGCACTTTTCTGTGGGGTTGTCAAGCACGCGCTGCCCGCGATCGGGGCCGAGGACAGTCTCTGGGGTACTTCGCGAAGCATGCCGCGCGGATCCTTGTTCGCGGTCGGAAGCTCGTCGCAAGCGACGCTGCAGCCCCAACCGATCACAAGGATGCAACAGCACAACCACTGTCTTGGGCGTATACAGCCGCAACCCAGAGAGAACTCCTCGAGCACGTGCGTCAATGATCAAGTGACTGATCCTCTGAAACATGTCGTCCACCCCGCCGGCACATAGCAGCGGCGACATGGCAAATGCTCGTCTGGTGAGGGCGGCGAGGACCAGCAGTACTCACAGAGGGAGACAGGCGCCCGCCTCACGGAGCCGCGGGGTGGGATCGATGATGGACGAGCAGGAGGGGAGAGGGACGAGAAAGAGGAGGCGGGTCGAGGGGACGAAGCGTGGGATGCAGCTTAGTGATTTGGCGCCGCGGCGCAGCGTGTGAGGCCCGCCCTTCTTCTCCCAGACTTTCGAGAAACCTTCGTTGCTCTTGTCTGGATTTTCGAGGAGGGGAAGGGGGAAGGAGGGTTGCGCGCGTGTTCGCGCGTCCGTTGGGAGAACGGAAATATCTGGGGACACACACAGTCTAATGACGAACGCACTGTCGGGAAGCATCGCTTGCCCGGGTGAGGGGGGCGCCGGTCTGGTTTTCGCTTGTCCCCAGGCCTCCTTACGCGCGCCCATTAAGATTCGGTCTGTGGCCTCTGGGCCCCATGCCAGAGGCAACCCCTGCGTCCAAGGGGCTTAATTCGAACGGCCCGCGCGCAGCAGAGGGCACGCGTGCAACGCCTGGGTACTGTGCTCTGTCCTGTGTCCTCGAGGGCCAGGGGGTGCCCGCAGGAGTCGCTCTCCTGTCGCCACGGCCGGGTTGCCGCGCTCGGCGGTGTGCAGCAGCGCCAGCGGCATTCCCCTGCCAGGGGCGCACGCTTCACGCTGCGAGTGGAGTGTGCTGTGCTTCCCCGCCAGAGCCCGCAGTAGAGCGCGCGCAACCTTCTACATCGCCGAGCTCGCGCGCACCATGGCGAAGTTCGAATGCACCTTCGTCAACTACACCATCGAAGCTAAAATTTTTACCCACAGTATGCCTAAACAGCGGGAAGGTCTTATGATCTTGTCAAGTTTGTCAGTGTGTGTGTGTGTATGTGCGTGTGTGCCTTTTCCTTCTTGTAAGCCCCGCCCGACCCCAACGGCGCGTGGGCATGTCACAGGCCGGTCCGGGTCCTCTTCCTGCCCTCGCGCTGGAAGGCGTCCTGCAGTGCCTCGAGGACGCACGGGCAGTAGGCGGAAGCATCGTACGCCTCGCGCACCCTCCCAGAGGAGCGCGCGAAAGCCAGGCAGACCTCCCGGAGCCTAGATAGAAAAAGGAAAAACGGCATAACCATAAACTTTTGGTGCTCCGCGCGGGTTTCTTGGATCTGCGCTGGGCGTTGGAACCCCCCTCCCTGGCGCGTGGAGCGCACTAGGGGCGGCGCTGGAGGCGCCGCCGGGGGGGGGGCCCAGCGCAGATCCAAGAAATCCGTGAGGAGCTCCAAAAGTTCATGTTTATGTTTTTTTTGTTCTTCGATCTTGGGGAAACCAAAAGGTACCGATACCGCTGCTCCCCGGATCTCTGCCGGGGTGCGTTCTGACCAGGATTTCGAGGCGAATCCAGCGGTGGCGAGGAGGGCCGCCCAGGAGGTCCAAAAAGAGGAGGAAAACATGATCGACCCACGAACCCGGAAAGGAATATAGAAATGTAAGGCATGGCAACGTTTGAAAGACACCCGATTGGGCGACGGGCAAATGCAATGCTTAATGTATCGATTTTGATGTACCGTGCCGTGGGCTGTGCTGTGCTGCGCTGTGCTGAACTGCGACGTGCCATGCCGCGATTGTGCTCTATAGCGTTGTGGATCGAGTCCTCCTTTGCATCCGAATCCTGACCGAACTGATCTGGATCTTAAGCTCGAGCTGCCTCAGCACATAGTAGCTGCCTCAGAGCTAACTGACAGGGGAACATGCCAGGAGGACGCGCCGCGGAACGTCCCAAGGGACGCGCCAGGCGACGTGCCAAGGGACGTGCCACGAAGACGCACCGCGGGACGTGCCGAGGGGACGCGCTACGGAACGTGCCAATGGACGTGCCAATGGACGTGCCAGGAGACGCGCCGCGCGACGTGCCAGGGGGACTCGCCACGGGACGCGCCATGGAACGTGCCGAAGTTGCAATGCTGAGTGTATCGATCTTGATGTACCGTGCCGTGGGCTGTGCTGTGCTGCGCTGTGCTGAACTGCGACGTGCCATGCCGCGATTGTGCTCTATAGCGTTGTGGATCGAGTCCTCCTTTGCACACGAGTCCTGACCGAACCGACCTAGATCTTAAGCTCGAGCGGCCTCAGCACATAGTAGCTGCCCCAGAGCTAATGGACAGGGGGACATGCCAGGAGGACGCGCCGCGGAACGTCCCAAGGGACGCGCCAGGCGACGTGCCAAGGGACGTGCCATGGGCACGCACCGCGGGACGTGCCAAGGGGACGCGCTACGGAACGAGCCAATGGACGTGCACCGCGCGACGTGCCAGGGGGACTCGCCACGGGACGCTCCGCGGAACGTGCCAGGCAACGTGCCAGGCTGCAATGCTAAGGGTATCGATATTGATGTACCGTGCTGAGGGCTGTGCTGTGCCTGGGCGACCTGGACACGTGAAAACACGATTTTCCCTCAAGACGTTCTCAGCACATCCTCATGCTAGACATCCGCCTGGACAACCTGGACACGCGCAAACAAGCGTCTCGATCGAGACTTCCTCGACACCGCCTCATGCTAGACATCCGCCTGGGCAACTTGGACACGTGAAAACAAGCCTCTGGTTCGAGACATCCTCAACAAATCCTCATGCTAGACACACGTCTGGGCAACCTGGAGGCGTGAAACTAAGCGTCTCGCTCGAAACATCCTCAAAACCTGGGCACGTGAAAACAAGCATTTCACCTGAGAGATCCTCTGAATTCAGGTCCCCAGGAGAGCACAATATATACAATACAAAACAAGCGTTTCGCTCGAGACATCCTCAACAAATTCTGAAAATCAAGTTCGCCGGCCCAAGTCGCAGGGGGGCCGGGGGGTTAACCTACTAAAAGAGAACCCTGGGCCCGCGCCCTTTCCGGGAACATGATCGACCCACGAACCCGGAAAGGAATGTAGAACTGTAACACATGGCAGCGTTTTCAAAGACACCTGATTGGGTGACGGGCAAATGCAATACTGAAGGTATCGATCTTGATGTACCCTGCCGAGGGCTGTGCTGTGCTGCGCCGTGCTGAATTGCGATGTGCCATGGCGCGACTGTGCTCTATAGCCTCGTGGATCGAGTCCTCCTTTGCATCCGAGTCCTGACCGAACTGATCTGGATCTTAAGCTCGAGCTGCCTGAACACATAGTAGCTGCCCCAGAGCTAATGGACAGGGGAACATGCCAGGAGGACGCGCCGCGAAACGTCCCAAGGGATGCGCCAGGCGACGTGCCAGGGGACGTGCCATGGGGTCGCACCGCGGGACGTGCCAAGGGGACGCGCTACGGAACGTGCCAATGGATGTGCCACGGGATGTGCCAGGGGACGCGCGACGCGACGTGCCAGGGGGACTCGCCAAAGGACGCCCCACGGAACGTGCCAAGGAACGTGCCAAGTTGCAATGCTGAGTGCATCGACCTTGATGTACCGTGCCGAAATCAGTGCTGTGCTGCGCCGTGCTGAATTGCGATGTGCCATGGCGCGATTGTGCTCTATAGCCTCGTGGATCGAGTCCTCCTTTGCATCCGAGTCCTGACCGAACTGATCTGGATCTTAAGCTCGAGCTGCCTGAACACATAGTAGCTGCCCCAGAGCTAATGGACAGGGGAACATGCCAGGAGGACGCGACGCAGAACGTCTCAAGGGACGCGCCAAGCGACGTGCCAAGGGACGTGCCATGGGGACGCACCGCGGGACCTGCCAAGGGGACGCGCTACGGAACGTGCTGGGGACAAGCGTTTCGCTCGAGACATCCTGTCAAAATCATTTGAATTCCTACGCGCGGGACGCTGCACGCGCGAGACATCCTCGGAATTCCTGCGAGCGGGACGTGAAAACAAGCATTTCGCCTGAGACATCCTTTGAATTCTGGCCCCCCACGAGGCCACCGCTCGAGACATCCTCCAATTTTGCAAAACCAGCGTTTCGCTCGAGACATCCTCAACAAATTATGAAAAACAAGCGTTTCGCTCGAGACATCCTGTCAAAATCCCAAGAAATCCAAATACCCGCGCGCGGGACGCGGCACGCGCGAGACATCCTTGGAATTCCTGCGCGAGGGGCGCTTTTCCGTGTCGCGGTCGGCTCTGCAAAACCAGCGTGTCGCTCGAGACATCCTCAACAAATTCTGAAACCAAGCGTTTCGCTCGAGACATCCCCAACTCTGCAAAACCAGCGTCTCGCTCGAGACCTCCTCAACAAATTCTGAAAAACAAGCGTTTCGCTCGAGACATCCTCAAAAATAATTTCGCCGGCCCTACTCCGTGCGTGCCCGCTCGCAAAACAATTTCGCCGGCCCAAGTCGCAGGGGGGCCGGGGGGTTAACCAACTAAAAGAGAACCCTGGGCCCACGCCCTTTCCGGGAAAAAAAGAAAAGGCAGCGGCATGGCTACCTTTTCCTCCCCTGGGACCTCCTCGAGCCTGGATGCTCCGTGCAGCACCGCCGCCTCCAGCGTGGGCTCGAGCCCCTCGGCGGTGACCTTCGGTCGGGCATGTCCCCCTACCGGCGGATTTGGGACGAAAAATAAAACAATTGAAAAACATGCGCAAACATAGTCGAAACATCGTCCCCAGACATTTTTTTCTTGACAAGTTTTGAACAGTCCTCCTGTAGAGGGACAGGCCCGAATTAACGTTAGGTCGGGCATGTCCCCCTATACGCGGATTTTGGACGAAAAATCAAAATATTCAAACCATTCAGAAGTAGTCAAAACATATTCAAAAATAGTCCCCAGAGTATTTCTTGACTATTTGTACCTAACAGCTTTTGCTGATAGGTTTCTAGTGGTCTCAAAAGATAGCAGCAGATGGCTCCACAAGGGGGTCGGGGCGGGACCCGGGGCGGTGCCGCCGAAGCCCGAATCGCTTGGGACATCCTCGCAAAATCGCTCTTGGTGCTCCCAGAACTCCATTCCCGGGCCACATTTTGGATGCCCGGAGCCAACCGTAAGCCACTTCGTGCTCTTCGACTTCCCAGAACTCCATTCCCGGGCCACCTTTTGGATGCCCGGAGCCAACTGTAGGCCACTTCGTGCTCTTCGATTTCCCAGAACTCCATTCCCGGGCCACATTTTGGATGCCCGGAGCCAACTGTAGGCCACTTCGTGCTCTTCAAGTTCCCAGAACTCCATTCCTGGGCATGATTTTGAATGCCCGGAGCCAACTGTAGGCCACTTCGTGTTCTTCTAGTTCCCAGAATTCCATTCCTGGGCCACATTTTGAATGCTGAGGCAGGCTGATGCTGCGGCCGAGGCAGGCTGAGGCTGAGGCAGGCTGAGGCTGAGGCCGAGGCTGAAGGCAGACTGAGGCTGAGGCTGAAGCAGACTGAGGCTGAGGCTGAGGCTGGCTGAGGCTGAGGCTGAAGCAGGCTGATGCTGAGGCAGGCTGAGGCTGAGGCTGAGGCTGATGCAGGCTGAGGCTGAGGCAGGCTGAGGCTGAGGCCGAGGCTGAAGGCAGACTGAGGCTGAGGCTGAAGCAGGCTGAGGCTGAGGCTGAGGCAGGCTGAGGCTGAGGCAGGCTGAGGCTGAGGCTGAGGCAGGCTGAGGCTGAGGCTGTGACTGCGACTGCCGTTGCCGCTGCGACTGTCATCGCGAATGCGACTACGACTGCGAGAACAGCAGAATTCTACAACTGGATTTTCATCTGAATCTCAAGGGGAATGCTTTCAGATATGCTTCTACACATCGCTGTTAGGTTGCTTTGCCGGGATAATTGAATACTCCTCCAGTATAGGGACAGGCCCGACTTAACGGCGACCCCGCGCTCCAGGCGCTCGGCCAGCACGGCCGCGAGGCCCGTCATCTGCCAGCAGTGGGCCACGGCGAAGGCCCCCGCGAGGTCCCTCTGCAGCGTGGCCGCGCCCGCGGCGGCCGCCGCCCGCAGCCAGGAGAAGTTCCTCCTCGTGATCCTGGGAAGAACAGCCCCAGACTCTCGCGTTGTGAAAACATCACGACGGGCGGCTTGCTGCCATCTTCGGCCTCCGGGGGTCCTTGCCGGGCCTCGGGGCCGTCAAGAAACGACCCAGGATGAAAAGCCGGTCCCGGGGAAGGGGTCCAGACCTCTGGGGGTCGCGTCGTGAAGAAATCACGACGTCGGGGATCTGGGACGAAAGCGGCAGAAGCATAACCTTTCGGAGGTCCGTGAGGGTTTCTTGCATCGGCGCTGGCCCCCCCCCCTCCATGGCGAGATTAGAGCGCGCCAAGGGCGGCGCCAGAGGCACCGCCGGGGGGGGGGGGGGGCGAGCACCGATTCAAGACATCCGCGAGGGGCTCTGAAAATCCCACCAGTCCGCTGGGCGTAGGTGGTCTAGAGCGTTTACTCTTCCAACCCCTTCTTCCCCTTCGGGGAAGGGTTTATCACTGTTCCCTAATAATAAACACCCCCTCCCCCCCGGCGACTGGTAACCAACCCAGAACCATGCGGGCCCACCCCCACCATCCCTTGTAAAGAACCATACAAAGCACACTCTGCCTCTAAATTCAAAGCATGCGCAGCCAACCCGATGCGGCCTCCCCCCACCATCCCTGTCAACAAACAATACAGAATACACTTGGCGGCGGCGGCGGCTGCGGCGGCTGCGGTGGCGGCGGCGGCTGCGGCGGCGGCGGCGGATTGGCCCCCAGTAGCTGCCTATCCAAAGACGACTGCTGAATATGCTGACTCTCTGGCCAGACTCGGGTGCTACGTATGTGTTGGGAGGGCGGGTGGGAGTGAGCGAGACGGCTTGCGGGCGGGGAAGGAGTCTTGACCCCTCCCCCTACCCCCTCCCCTGGACCTGGACGGGGGGTTTCGCGAGGGGTTGGAGCGTCCACGATGGCCCAAGATGGCTCCAAAAACGCCTCGGAGAGCCCAAGGTGAGCTCCAAGATGGCCCAGGATAGCCTAAGATGCCTCAAGATGGCTCCGAAGATGCTCCCTCCAAGAAGCCTCAAGACCGCCTCACGACGGCTCCAAGAAGCTAAAGAGCTTCCCAAGGAGGCCTCCAAGAGGCCAAATTTCGTCAACTACCCAAGGGAAACCAGTGACTTTTGCCTTCTCGCTTTTTCGCTTCCGATGGCCATTCGAGGCCTCAAGATGGTTCCAAGATGGCCCAAGAGAGCCCCAACAGGGCCCCAAGAGAGCTCCCAGACGGCCCCAAAAGCGCCCAAGAGCGCCTCAAGAGGGGTCCAGGAAGCTATTTTTGGGGCTCCCGAGGGGGGGGTGCAATTGAAGCTCCCCTTTTTTTTGATCGACTTCCTCCAAGATGGCCCCAAGAGGCGCCCAGGAGGCCCCAAGAAGAGGCCCCCAAGAGACCCCCAACAGGACCCCAAGCGGCCCCCCCGAGGCATCCAAGACGCCCAAGAGTCCCTCAGGACCGCCAAGAGACCCCCAAGACGTCCCAAGAGGCCTCCAACAAGTGCCCAAGAGATACCCCAAGAGGCTCCGAGAGGCATTCAATAGACCTCTGGCCCTTTTGCTCGCCCTCCTCCTCCTGCTCCCCCTTCCTCCTCCTACTCCTTTTGTTTCCTCTTTCACCCCCTTCTTCCCCTTCGGGGAGGGGTTTATCACTGTTCCCTATTGATAAACACCCCCTCCCCCAGGCGACTGGGGGCCAACCCGAGTCCATGACAACACCCCCCACCATCCCTTGTAAAAGTTATCCCAGTGCGACCCTACCTAGGAGTTGGAACCCCTAGAAAAGCAGCATTAGTAGTAACAGTAACGCTAAGCTAAAGCTAAGCTAAAGCTAAGCTAAAGCTAAGCCACAGCTAAGCTAAAGTTAAGCTAAAGCTAAGCTAAAGCTAAGCTAAAGCTAAGCTAAAGCTATGCTGAAGCTAAGCTAAAGCTGAGCTAAAGCTGAGCAACAGCTAAGCTAAAGCTAAGCTACAGCTAAACAACAGCTAAGCTAAATCTAAACTAAAGCTAAGCGAAACGCTAAGCTAAAGCTAAGCTGCAGCTAAGCTCAAGCTAAGCTAAAGCTAAACGCTAATCGAAAAGCTAAGCGAAACGCTAAGCTAAAGCTAAGCTACAGCTAAGCTAAAGCTAAGCTAAAGCTAAGGTAAAGCTAAAGCTAAAGCTAAAGCTAAAGCTCCCAGGGGACTGGGGGGAACCGCTCCCAAGGGACCGGGGGAACCGCCCGGGGCGTGTAGCACTGCCCGGCCCCTTTAAGCTAAGAGAGTAAGAACCCTTCTAGACAGAGCCTAGGTAGGGAAAAACAATACAAAACATACTCTGCCTCCAAATTCGGAACATGCGCAGCCAACATGGTGCGGCCCCCCCACCATCCCGGCGGCGGCCGCGGCGGCTGCGGCGGCGGCGGCGGCGGCGGCGGCGGGGACGGCGGCGGCGGCGGCTGCGGCGGCGGCGGCGGCGGCGGCAGCGGCTGCGGCGGCGGCGGTTGGCAGGGGGGCGGCGGCGGCGGCGGCGGCGGCGGCGGCGGCGGCGGCGGGGCGGCGGCGGCGGGGCGGCGGAGGCGGCGGCAGGCGGCGGCAGCGGCGGCGGCGGCGGCGCGCGGCGGCGGCGGCGGCGGCGGCGGCGGGCAGCGGCGGCGGCGGCGGCGGCGGCGGCGGCGGCGGCGGCGGCGGCGGATTGGCCCCCAGTAGCTGCCCATCCAAAGACGCCTGCTGAATATGCTGAGGCTCGGGCCAGACTCGGGTGCTACGTATGTGTTAGGAGGGCGGGTGGGAGTGAGCGAGACGGCTTGCGGGCGGGGAAGGGGTCTTGACCCCTCCCACCACCCCCTCCCCTGGACCTGGACGGGGCGTTCCGCGAACGGTCGGAGCGTCCAAAACGGCCTCGGCGAGGAAGCCCAAATCATTTGTTTTACTATGGTTTTGGCCCCATTTTGGGGCTCCCGAGGGGGGAGGGTACATGAAGCTCTCCCATTCTTTCACCGATCTCCTCCAAGATGGTCCCAAGAGCGCCCCCAAGGCTCCCAAGAGCGCCCCTAGAGGGCCCCAAGAGGCGCCCAAGAGGCCTCCGAGAGGCCCCCAAGAGGCCCCCCAAAGGTTTCAAGAGGATCCCCGAGGCACCGAAGATGCCCCCCAGACGCTCCAAGAGGGCCCCCCGAGGCACCCAAGACGCCCAAGCGCCTCCCAGGACCGCCAAGAGGCTCCCAAGACGTCCCAAGAGGCCACCAAGAAGCGCCCAAGCGATATCCCAAGAGGCTCCGAGAGGCATCCAAGAGACCTCTGGCCCTTTTACTCGCCCTCCTCCTCCTGCTCCACCTGCCTTCTACTCCTTCTCTTCTCTTCCTCCTCCTCCTCCTCCTCCTCCTCCTCCTCCTCACCATCACCATCACCATCACAACCATCATCATCATCATCATCATCATCATCATCATCATCATCATCATCATCATCATCATCATCATCATCATCATCATCATCATCATCATCATCATCATCATCATCATCATCATCATCATCATCACATCACATCACATCAGCATCAGCATCATCAGCATCAGCATCAGCATCAGCATCAGCATGCATCAGCATCAGCATCAGCATCAGCATCAGCATCAGCATCAGCATCAGCATCAGCATCAGCATCACCACCACCACCATCATCATCATCATCACCATCACCATCACCATCACCATCACCATCACCATCATCATCATCATCATCATCATCATCATCATCATCATCATCATATTCATCTTTCTTCTCCCCACTCCCTCATCCATCCATCCAACATCCTTCTTCTCCTCCTCCCTCCTTCGAACGGTTCGGCCGTCCACCTCTTTGCTCCCGCACTTCCCTGATCACCTCAACACGCCTGGACATCGTTTCTGGATGGGCTGGTGGGAATACGCGAAACGTCTAGAATTTAAGTTTATGCGTTTTGCTCCCCCGTAATCCACTGCCGTGCTCCAATGCCGTCGAACTTGATCAGGGCGTCGCCCTTGTCGTCGACCCGGTGCACCTCGCCGCAGAGCCCCGCGGGCAGCAGGACGCTGTTGGCGCTGTTGGACGCGAGAGCGCTCCTCACGGTCACCTTGAGCCCCTCGGAGACCTTGGGCGGCTCCTCTGGCTCCTCCTCTGGGAGGCAGCCGGTGTACATCACGAAGAGCAGCATGTCGACCACCCGGACTGCAGAGTCGACAGGGATCTTGCGAGCTCTCCCCTCTAGCATGCTCGACGATAGCATTGCTGCCAACACTGGCGAAGCCGCACATAGTACCAGCGAGTGCGCCTTTGACAAGCCGTCGGGCGACACGAGGTCGACATCCGCCGAGGACCTGTCCTGCCAGCAACGCTCCCAAGTCTGAACCACGGCCTCTGGGACCAAAGACCTCTCCGCCCTGATGCTCCCGGCTTGAGCCGAGAGCGCGGCATACCGGTCGATGAGCCGGCTGAGGACGCTCGCGTCGCTGCTGGCACCGTCGCAATCCTCTGCCGAAGGGGGCGGATGCGTGAACTTGTAGCGAAGCAAGTCGTTCCGCATCTGGATCACGGCCTGCATGGGCGTCAGGTCACCACGCAACCGCCAATCCTGGTAGAGTCCCTTCACGACGATGTCCGCAGACGGGATCACGGCATCAGGCCTCGCACCGCGATTCCCGAGCTCCTCCACGATGTCCAACATCAGTCGCGCGCGGTCGCCGCCACCGCCCTCCAGGAAACGCCCCTCCAGGCCCAGCAGCGCGGGCAGGAACGCGGTGAGCACGCTTCCGTAGAGCGGGTGCACGCTGCCCATGTCGAAGCACGGCGGCGCCGCGCGGACGGCGCTGAGGTCTCCCGAGGCGATGGCTGCCCAGACCCACTCCAGCGAGCCGCCGCCGAGGATAGAGCGCGGCGCCTTCTCCATTCATGGGGAGCACGCGCGCGAAGTTAAGCAGAGATCATCTGCGGCCTGCGTGCCGACGGCGGCGAGACTGTCGCAAGACAGTGAACGAGTGCAATCTCGCAGAAGTGCGCGAGGTTGCAACACTCTTTGGGCCAGAAATTATCAGCAAGTGGAAGCGACAGGGAAAGGCGAATAGGCAGATCTTTTTCTCTTAAGACCCTTGACTACAAGAACTGCCGAACCGCAGCTGGAATCCGATATCCCGATCTGAGGATATCGCGACAAACGCTGGTTGACTTATGACTCCGCATCGCCAGCGGCATCTGCGCAATGCAAATCGCACAAGGTGAATGCAAACGCCGAACGATCGTATGCGCGGCACGCCACCATGGCTCGGCCTCGCATGCATATATCGCCCTTCGCGCATACTCTCCATGTGAATGCCTTGGTCGATATCCCATGCGCCCTCAAACACTTGTGCACTCGCTGCTTGGAGGGATGGCTCAAATGTGAAGTTTGAGATAGGAACGATTTGTGCCACGACCGATGGCATAAACTTGCGAACGTATTCATCAGTATAAACATATATATATATGTATATACACATGTTTAGATGTACATGCACATGGGGAGCACCGGCGGATGTATCATGAATGGGTGCGGTATCGATGTCTCGATATACTCATATAAAGATAAATAGGTGCTAAGAGCCGCTCTGTGATCCACCTTCCTCGTGGTTGTTGTTCCATATGGTTTCCTATCTCATTTCAGTTGTGCTACTTCTCTTTCTGACCGCCTGTTTATCGTTTAGCTGCCTGCGGCAAGTCTTGCCACGGTGCCATTCTAGCATGTTCGGCGGCTCTCGTTCGAGGGGGCACTGGAGACGGTACTCGCGAGGAATGGACAATATGCGAACAATGACGATGATGATGCCGACGATGACGATGACGATGACGATGATGATGCGGATGATGATGATGATGATGATGATGATGATGATGATGATGATGATGATGATGATGATTTAGATGATGATGATGATGATGATGATGATGATGATGATGATGATGATGATGATGATGATGATGCATATGGTGGCGAAGATGATGATCGTTGGGGTATCGTGGGGGGCTTCTCGGGGGCCTCTTGGAGGCAATTTTGAAGACTGACTGCAGCAAGGGCATTTCACAACCCTTGAGAGCCGCCATGATCATTCTGGGAGCCTTCTGCCTTGAACCCTCTAGGCTTTCGACATTTCTGTGGCCCCTTCTAAAAAAAAGGGCCCTCAAGAGCACCTGAGCATTCCCTCGCGTAGCATCCTCAATGGCTGCTGCTCGTCGCGCGCTTGCGGCGACGCTGCCTTGCCCAGAAAACCGTGCGTCTCTGAAGGATCCATCGCGTCCCACACTTTGACACTCTCCATGGGAATTGGCCAATGGATGGGTATTATGCGGCATACGAACAGAATCCTTTTGTGCGGGGTTGGCAAAGTGATCACAATTGCGCGGCTTTCAAACATAATCTTGTTGGGAAAATGTTGCAAACTGATTGCTTTTCTATAGAAGGCAGTTAGCATCCCTTTGTACGGACATTCGAACTGATTCCTGTATTGTAGGATACACTTGCGATTCTTTTGTACAGAATTGCGAATTCATTCTTATATATTGTGAAGTTATCAAATGGAATCCCTTTGTGGGGTACTACTAACTGGTTCCTACTGTATGGGAAACACATCACATCCTTTTGTACAGGCTCACACATTGATTCCTGCTATGCGGCCCCTCGAATGGAATCACTTTGCGGCTGGCTGGGTGGGAGGGGGGGAAGGCCTGGCCGACGAAAGACACAAACAAGACAACCAAGACAAACACAATCAATCTTGGGGAAAAAAAACGTTGTGTTTTTATGTGTAGATTTGTTTTGAAATGTAGACCAACTAAACACGAAAAGGACAATCTGCAAACAACGAAAACCTGTATTTTCACAGTGTTTGGGCATTTGCAAATTGATTCCGGCTGTGCGGCCTTCAGATGGATTCCCTTTGCGCCTGGCTCGGGGGGAGAGAGGGGGCCTGGCCGACGAAAAAAACAAAACAGGCAAACAAGACAAACAAGACAATCTGGGGGACAAACAACACCGCTATGTTTTTATTTGTCAATCTGTTTCTAAGTGTACGCAAGAAATCACAAAGACAAAAATCTGGAAGCAAGGACAACCTGTATTTTCACAGTGTTTGGGCATTTACAAAATGATTCACGTTGCGAAGCCACCAAATATAATTCCTTAGTCGGAATCAACTTGTAGAGTCCCGAACATGCATTTGCACATTGATTTCCGATTGCACAGCCATCAAACAGAACCCTTTTGTGGGACTCCACACGTTGATTTCTATTAAGGAATTCTGTTTCGTGGCCTCGCAATGGGGATCATTCCCTTGCGTCGCATCCTCTGATACTGTTGTTCGTCGCGCGCTGGCGGCGACGCGATCGCGTCTCACACTTTGACATCCTCCATGGGAATTGGCCAGTGGAGAAATAGTGTGCGGCATACGAACATACTGCTTATGTGCGGGGTTGGCAAATTGCTCAGTATTGCGCGGCTTTCAAACATAATCTCCTTTGTGGGATGTTGCAAATTGATTGCTATTGTACAGACTTTCAAATTGATTCCTATAGTGTAGGAAGCACTTGCAATTCTTTTGTACACAATTGCGAACTAATTCCAATTTATTGTGGGGTTATCCAATGGAACCCCTTTTGCGGGGTACTACGAACTGGTTCCCATTGTATAAGAAACACATGAGATCCTCTTGTACAGACTCACACATTGATTCCTATTGTGCGGCCTTCAGACGGAATCAGTTTGCGCCTGGCTCGGGGGGAACGCGGGGGCCTGGCCGACGAAAAAAAAACAACAAAGACACACAACACAAAAAAACAATCTGGGGACAAAAAGCATTGTTTTTATGTGTACATTATATATACATATATACATGGTAAACGAATAAACCAAAAGGGCAATCTGAAAACAACAGAAACCTGTATTTTCACAGTGTTTGGGTATTTGCAAATTGATTACGGTTGTGCGGCCTTCACATGGAATCCCTTTGCGCCTGGCTCGGGGGGAGAGGGGGGGGCCCGCTGACGAAAAAAGCAAAAAAGACAAAAACGACAAACCAGTCAATCTCGGGGACAACAAACGCTGTGTTTTTGTCTGTATATTGGATTTTAAGTGTAAGCCACGAAAAAAAACAATCTGGAAGCAAGGACAAAAACTGTATCTTCAAAGAGTTTGGGCATTTACACATTGACTCCCGTTGCGAAGCCACCAAACATAATTCCTGAATAGGAATCAATTTGTAGAGTCCCAGAAAGGCATTTACATATTGATTTCCGATTGTACGGCCATCAAACTCGAGAAGTAGAGGAGCCCCACAACGTCGAAAAACCATGACGAAATCAACAATTTTGGCCTCTCGGGGCACTCGTATGGGGCCTCGGGCGCGGGGCCGTCCTGGCGCCTTATTGAAACATCTGGGGAGCTTCCTGGGGCGAGAGACTCATAATTTGGGTTCATGCTCCCTGTACGGCCGTCTGTACGTCCTCTTGGGCCGTCTTGGGCGCCCCTGGGGGCGTCTTGGAGCCCTGTTAGGCCGTCCGGGGCCTCTGGGCCCGCCCTGAAGAGGTGTTGGAAGCCTCTTGGGCTGTCGTGGATTGTCGGAAACCGGAAACTCGACAAGTGGAGGACCCCAACAACATCGAACAACCCTGAGGAGATCAAATATTTGTGCCTCTCGAGGCGCTCGTCTGTGGCCTCGGGCGCCCACTGAAACCTGCCCAGGGACGTCCTGGCGCAACCTCGAAGCCTTCGGAGGCCGTCCAACAACCATCTGCGGCGGTGCCTGGTTGTGCTAGACTGGTCGGGTAACCGGTACGGCCATCAAACAGAACCCCTTTGTGGGACTCTACGCGTTGATTCCTATTAAGGAATTCTGTTTCGTGGCCTCGCAATGGGGATCATTCCCTTGCGTAGCATCCTCAGTGACTGTTGCTCGTCGCGCGCTGGCGGCGACGCCATCGCGTCTCACACCATGACATTCTCCATGGGAAACTGGCCAGTGGATAAATAATATGCGGCGTACGAACAGAATCCTTTTGAGCGGGGTTGGCAAATGGATCACCATTGCGCGGCTTTCAAACATAATCTCCTTTGGGGTATGTTGCAAATTGATTGCTATTGTGTAGAGAAGGCAATTTGAATCCCTTTGTGCAGACATTCAAACGGATTCCTAGTGTCGGATACACTTGCATTTTTTGTACAGACTTGCGAACTGCTTCCAGTCTATTGTGCGGTTATCCAATGGAATCCCTTTGTGGGGTGCTACGAACTGGTTCCCATTGTGTGGGAAACACATAAAAAACTTCTGTACAGACGCACACATTGATTCCTGCTGTTTTGGCCGTCCAAAAACCATCTGCGGCGGTGTCTGGTTGTGCTGGACTGGTCCGGTAAACTTTAATCACAACTCGCCATCGCTCGGACGTCCACTCCCTGTGCTTTTTTCGGTTTCGTGTGTGGTTTTTTCGCCAAATGATCAAGGATGCTCCTCGATGGTCCTCGCCGAAGGAAAAATGCACACGTCCGAGCGATGCCAAGACAATGTGAAACGCTGGGGCGCCCATGGCGCCATTTTGGGGGCCACGAGGGCGCCCCTGAGGGCCCCAGGAGCTCCCGTGCCAACCCGTGGCCGTGATTCTGGGCCCGCTCCTGGCCTACGCCGCCATATATATATATATATATATATATATATCTATCTACTTATCTATCTATCTATCTATGACGGTCTATGTGTATGTATGTATGTGTGTGTATGTATGTATGTATGTATGTATGTATGTAGGTATATATATATATATCTATGTATACATGTATGTATGTTTGTATGTACATATGTATGCATGTACGTATGCATGTTGGCATGCATGCATGTATGTAGGTATGTATATCTGTATGTATGCATG